GCTTACAAAGTGTTTTCATACATAACATTTCATTTGATCCTTTTATAAGAGACTAGAGGCCCGATGCACAAAGATTCTTGCAAGAATTCCCCTGGCTGCCGGAGCTGCCTTTCTGCCTTTCTGCCTTTGCTCCAGCCTAGCGCTGCCTTTCTGACTTCCCACACTGCCCAGAGGCCCAGAGCAGCTGGGGCGGTGTGGAAAGCCCCTGGCTGCTCGGTGCCTGCATATGCAAATTAACCTGTCAGCTTTGTTGGTTTAATTTGCATACTCCTGATTGGCTGGTGGGTGTCGTGAAGGTACAGTCAATTTGCATATTTCTCTTTTATTAGTGTAGCCTAGAGGCCTGGTGCATGAAATTTGTGCATGGGGGGATTCCCCTCAGCCCAGCCTGCACCCTCTCCAATCCAGGACCCCTTGGGGGATGTCCGACTGCCAATTTAGTCCTGGTCCTCTGGATGGGGCCTAAACCGGCAGTCGGACATCTCTCTCACAATCTGGGACCAGTGACTCCTAACTGCTCACCTGCCTGCCTGCCTAATCACCCCTAACTGCCCCCTTTGCCAGCCTGATCACACCTAACCACCTCTGCCTGCCGGTCTGATTGCCCCTAACTGCCCCCCTCCACCCTGCCAGCCTGGTCATCCCTCACTAACCCCCCCTGCCAGCCTGGTCACCCAACGCAGCCTGCTGTTCGGTCATCTGTCTGTCTGGTTGTTTTGGTCGTGATGGCCCCTGGCTTTTTATATATTAGGACTAGTAGGATAAAAAGGGCATTAATCTCGTGCTGAGCGCTTCACTCTCAGGACCTGATCACCCTCAAAGGCCCCAACTCAGCTACTTTCACACTGGGAACTAGGAGTCCAATATGTACATTTTTGTAGGACACAGACATTTAGTCCAGAATACAGGGCAGATCTTACAGGTGCACACCTGAGCCCTCCCCTAGTCTGCATAGAACCCTAGTGGCTCCCAAAGCCCACGGGGTAAGTGTCTCTCCAGGCCCTGGCCATGGACATGACATCGGTCCCTCCTCCTGACACCCGCTACCATCTCGCCACATGTGTGTCCTAGCCATCCTGCCCGGTTGGCGGCACCTGTAATTCATCTCGCTGTTGGCATCTCTCTAGGCCTTTGCACATGCTGTTCCTTCTGCTGGGAACACTCTCTTCCCTTTGCCACTGTGAGGACTTCACCTCCCACATGCCCATTCATTAAATAGGTGTTTCTTTAAAAGCTTCTGCTCAATTCTTTTTTATTTTTTTATTTTTGCTGATTTCAGAGAGGAAGGAAGAGGGAGAGAGAGACAGAAACATCAGTAATGAGGGAGAATCATTGATGGGCTGCCTCCTGCACGCCCCACACTAGGAATCGAACCCACAACCGGTCATGTGCCCTGACTGGGAAGTGAACCGGGACCTCCTGGTTCATAGGCTCACACTCAACCACTGAGCCACGCCGGCTGGGTAAATAGGTATTTATTGGGCTCATTTTGGGTGCCAGGCACTGTCTTAACATCTGAGGTCACAGAGACGAGCAGAAGTAGCGTGCCTCCTGCCTTCTTGGAGTTTTTGTCCGGGCGCCTCCTCCTCCGTCAGTGCCCTGCGCACTGCTGCCACGCCCCACCGGCAGCGCCTTCTCCTGGACTCCGTGGCAGTGCAAGCGGCTCGGTCATGTGTACCTGTTTGTATGTCTGTTCCCTCCCTTAGCGGTGAGCCGTGTGGGGAAAGGGACCATGCCTCATTCATCTCCTTATTCCCGGCATCTGCCTTCAAGAAGTTAATGCATTCCACATTTGTTAAAGGTTTATGATGCGCCAAACACTGTGGCGGACGCTGGTGCTAGAGCAGTGAGTGAGGCAGCCCTCCCCATCCCTACAGAGCTCACGGGTGAGGGAGGAAGACAGACCGACGGTTCCTTCTGGGCCCCTGCTCTCTGACTTACATCTTGCGTAGTCACTGTCCTTGGAGTCCTGGGGTACATTACAGATACACAGAGATTACGAATGTCCACCATGCCCTGAGTCAGGCGATGCCCGGAGCGTCTCCCACATAGAGATGGAAAATGCTTGTGGAGTT